CGTTTTTTCATCCTTCCAGATTTCCCCGCGATTATTGAGATAAGGACCCAGATTCCAGTGATAAGGTTTATGCTTGAGTTTCTCTTTGCAATAGGTTTTGTCTTCCTCCGTGCACTTCGTACACACATACTGAAGAGTATCGCCCCTCCAGCCATGTGCGAAGTTACATCGATCAGTTAGTTCGATATCACACCCCAATTTATGGAGACGGCACTCTTCTGACTTCCTTGTTCCCAAAACAAAAGCTCCGTGATGTAGTTTTCCGTCCCGGCCTTCACGTTTTAAATCAAAGTATTCCTTCCTGGCGCCCAGCTGTCCTACAACACGTCTGCCGTTCAGTCCCTCTGCTTTTGCACGGCTTTCAGTAGCCTTGGATTTCCTCCTTTCGACTGTTTGCCATCGGTCCTGAGATAACTCCTGCTTGTTGCCATACCATTCAGACTCCTTGTGGGGATTTACAACACTATCTCTTTCAATCAGCGCGTTGAAACGACCACCCACTGTAATCCAGTCGGTTTTTACCTCGGAGGCTTGAGGTATGACATGGATAAAATCAGGATCGCTTGAATCGTTCTGGTCACAGTTGTCTTCTACCACAATGTCCTTGGCTCGAGGTTGATGCGATGGAAATGAACGAACCTTTCTTCGTGCACCATGATTAAAAGTGTTATTGCTCAATTGGCTGCTGTAAGTTGAACGTTCGGAAAATGCACTAAACGTTGCAGGTATTGACGTACCTTGCCTCTGAAAAGAGGCGTAAGTGTCTCTATCTACCGGATCATAGGCGTAAGGGCCAGCAACAGTAAATCCAAGGTAAAACCACAAATCGTCTTTACTTTCGTTTGGGTAAAGGGTGTTGTCAAAGTTTATCTGCAGTCCACGGTACGAAATGATCCCCTTTCTGCCTGCTTCCTTTTGACCTTTCACACGTTCCAACTTCTCAGAAGGTTCCTTGCCTCGCCAAAATTGTGTTTTGGTTTTCCACTTTCTTTCCAGCCACTGAAACTCATGACTGTTGACAATGGCGTTGAGTCCAGTACCCTTACCAAGGAAGTACTCAGCGCCAGATTTTCGAAAACCGGAACCTGCCTTTTCTTGAACAATGCTGGCACACTTCTTGATTGCCTCCTTGGTCTGTAAAGTGTATTGGGCGAGGCCACCATTAGGAATAGGAAAGTGAATCATGTAGTAGAAAAGATTCGCCCATTCTGACTTAGGGAACTTTTCCACAAAAATCTTGACAATTTTGTCGAGGTCCTCCACCGGTGGTTTCTCTTCAAGATGAAGACAGGCCTTGGAACAAATTAGCATGTCATTGTGGCTGCCATGACCACGAAGACAAAGGGATTTCAGAAGTTGGTATATTAAATTCACATGACTGTTATCAAGGTTTGACCATGCACTGTAAGGGGTCTCGTCTTTAATGTAAAGAATGTCTTGAACCTGCTGTTGATAAAGAGCAAGATCTTGGCTAGGGGAAGACAACAAGACTGAGTATTCTTCCCTGCTTAGCTCGGTCTTGTCCAATCCAGTGATTTCATAGAATTTTCTCCGAAGATTCGACCCCCTTATCTTCGCATTGTTAAGACTTCGTATCTCATTCTCATCATAAGTGGTCGTTTGCTTGATCTTCACACTTCCAAACAACTCGTTGAGTACATCCAGTATCGTGGAACTAAGACTCTGTACGAAATTTTGCTGTTCAAAGGAAAGCATCTCCACCACCTCCGGGGGAGCGTCTCCTTCTTTTAAGTACCTCGTGAACTTCATGTCATCAGTATGAAAACAGTAGAGTTCCTTGATGATTTCAAGTAGTAGAATAATGGCTTGGATTTTTCCGATCATTGGGAAATGATTTGGGCCTTTAGACGTTGCCAGAGCTTTGTCGTAAACTTCCAACGCTTTGCGGCATATTTCGACTGCTTCGGGTAATGAGCGAAGCGATGGAGGCTTGTAATCCTTGAGCTGGAGAAGATAGAGAACACCTTTGGAGTTATAGTGGTTCGTGTAGCTGGGTTGGAGAGAGACAGCGATATCGACAGCTTTGTGAGCAGCATCGATTCCGTTGCGGGGCATGGGATGTTTAATAGTGCTTTCTTTCTTCATGGCCTTGTACAATCTTTCATGCAGGTTGTCATTTTCATCCATAACGTTTGTGCGCATCTCGTACCCCATAAATCTTGCTAACTGCTGCCAAGCATAGGCTTTTTCTTCCGTTTGAGTCGCCTGTTCACATACTGTGAGAAGAACCTTCATTGCTCCAGCTTCTCGAACGCTACTTTCCCTTTCCAAAATTTCCTCTATAACAGGGGAATATCTCGTGCGTCTTCCATAATATCCAAAAACCTCGTTTTCCAAATCGGTGCCGACGGTACCATCATCAGCTGCCTGCTCCTTCAGCAAAACTGGATCACATATTCTTTTGCGATCCAAGAATAGCCTGAAGACTTGTTGTTTTAAGAACTTTATCACGTAGGCTTTTCCTTGGACAACCTTTTCCAAAGCGAGAATTGCGGTTTCCTCGACATCTATTCTCGATGTGACAACCTCACTTACTAGGGAATGCGCGGGTCGCCAGCCATAGTAACCATGTTTTTCGTCTTGCACTTCAAGGAGAAGTCCTCCAAAAGCTTCGTGGATGTCTTGAATGGCAGGACATTGCGTTTTGTTTCCAGAAAGCCTTACGTAAAGGAAGTCCAGGACTAGTGAATGCGGAAGGATGATGTTGCCATCACTGTATTTGTTAAAAAAGCAGCACATTTCAAGCAGCACCTGGTGCTCTTGTAATCGTTCTCCAAGGAAGGCCCCTAGAATGTTGCCTATGTGATTCTGAAGCCTCTCTTTGATCTTTAGGTATTCCCGTCCAAAAAGTTCTAACCCAAACCAAATGAACCTCTTTTCTCTTTCCAGGACCTGCTCAGCTTCTCGTCTTCTGTCACTGTCGATGCCTGTGATATTGATTAGGATATTCTTCACACGAGTAGTCTCTTCCTCATCCAACTTTCTCAGAGTAATCTCAAAATTGCTTGCTGTCGTTGAGATTGGCAATGTAGTTAGTAAAACGCATCTTGTCTGCCTCCTCTTTATATGCTCGGTTAACAGGCGCACATCACTCTCAGGAAAATTGTCAACAAGCACCAGAGCTGGACGAGAAAAGTTGATATTTCCTTCATCGTAACCAATACATTGTAGCTTCTCAATCTGGTAATCTGTTGATGACGTTATGGCTTTCACCACAGCGCAGCGATATTCGCTTTTCTTGCTCCAAAGGATTCTGCGACACAGGGTCGTTGCGCCAGATCCTGGCTCGTAGGAGACAGTTATGGTTTTCACTTGGTAGTTTTCATAAACGTTTTCTTTCGTCAGGAACTTAAGTGCATTTCCAACCTTAGCACTGACATCTTTCTCTAGACTTCGAGGAATGCTGTGACCATGGAAGAGATTTACCTGGCTAACCTGAGCACCTTTGTAGAATGCACCCCTTTCTTTATCAATTTCTTCTGCTAATCTGGGCAATCGCGGGCTAGGACAATATAATTCTAAGTCATCCCAAGAGTTGATAGTTTTGTTGAGCACCTCCTTAAAGCCAGTAAAATACGGTAGCTCTGTTGTGGCACCTTTTTCTTCGAATTTAGATGGACCCACCAATTCACGTACAATTTCTTTCAGAAGGCTCCATGGAATGCCAATTACAGAACATTCGCCAAGTTCTTTCTGTAGTGACGGTTTTGAAGCCTTGATGATTGGCTCCGCCACAGTTCTGGACTCACTTAGAATAGTTACACAATTCCTTGCCGAATTTCCAAGAATGCTAAAACTGCTCTCCATGATATCTGCCATTTCATCAACAGCATTCTCACTAAGACAGAGGAAAACACAGATAAGGTTTCCAGGAGGAAAGCACTGTTTGTATGCTGATAAAGCGCGGTACAAACAGTCCTTGGAACACTTAATCCAGTCCCCTTTTTGCATTTCTTCACTGTTAAAAATCCAAGTTGTGCTTCGAGTTGAGATAAGTGAATCTTTGTCTGGAGTTATCTCTTTGAATTCGTCAAGGGTTCTGATTTTTGCTCGTGGTGCGTCGCTTGTCTCGTTACAGGCATGGTGTAAGCCATCTTTCTTGGAGGAAGGATCAAACAGGTCAAAGACCGTCACCCAAGGTATATTTTGTAGGAAAGACAAATGTGCTGTTCCTCTGTACTTGGCAGGCAACTTGTTGGCGATGAGTATGAAACCATTTTCTTTGAAATTAAGGTCACGTAAACGTTCCCTTAAAACGTCACTGTATCTTTTGGCATCGGCATCCTCCAAACTGGGTTCTGCTAAAATAGAAATGAGAATTTTTATTATCCAAGTTTGTTACATAAGCATAAGGTGCATTGAAAGAATGCAACACTGTTCTCGGTCAATCGCAGTTAAACGTTTGGTGCCAGGCCCAGTAAAAAGACAAAAATAGCACTTACCTTCAGGTATTTCGTAACCACCTGAAAAAAGGTAAAAAATTCATGGAATAAGAAAGCGGCGTCTTTCCTTTAAAAAACCGCCATCAGGCCGTTAAGACGATTTCACTAATTTACTCAACAAAGAAAATCATGCTACGTTATTTGCAGGTGCTACTGATACAATAAAGAGCACTAACCCACAGCACTTGTTTTTAATACAGGCTAAGCTCTTGTTAGCGAAAAGTTTAGCTTTTAAATCAGTCACTTAAGTTAGAATGGTGCCATGAGTGAACATGAGTAAAATTAAAAATTTGTTCAACTGAAAAGATTAAACCATGTAATCTTAGGTGTAGGTACGATGTTTTACTCAAGATTGAAGTTAAATTAATGAAAATTACAGACTCATCAGTTGACCCTTTGCTCATCTTATTTTTAGTCACTTGAGTTTCCTTTTGTTAGCTCCTATCTTACTTTTAAGCGATTTGGGATTAATATGTTCAAGAACCTATAATTAATTTTATTATTATTTTTCCTATGTCAGTACTCAATAAAATTGTCTTTACCTTGTTTTGTCTTCTTCCTCCAATCCTTGTACTTAACCTCAAGAGGTTTCTTCACTTGGCGTTCGACTTCATATGGTTTAACACTAGTAGACGCGCCATTGGTACGAATTGCAACGTCATCAAACTCATCTTTGACCTTAAAGAAGTCGCTCAATGCTCTCTTTTCACCGCTTTCCTTGTATACCCCACGCTTCTCAGTCCAGCTTTTCGAGTAATATACTTTATCTTTGCAGAATCGCCAATCGCGAGCCACCTCTATCTCAATAACAAATGAATGAGAACGGGTTCCTTGGCTTTTTACAGGGACGAAGTACATATTAACGCAGTTCTGTTCTCCACCTTTTTGCAGTGGCCCAGCATCGCTTTTAATATGATCATCAAGGACAAACTGAAATGCTTTGTTGATATCATCTCTCATGTGCTCAACCTCAAGCCCAATGATTTCTCCATGGTGATATTTCGAATCTTTCTCCAGGCTATCCCCAACACCAAAGTAAATGATGCCTTGTCTATCAGCATTTAAACAGGCACAAATGAACTTCTTTGCCTTTTCCATTACTTTCCATGGCAGAGAGCAAGAAGGGGCACTTACAAGGGATTTGAACTCCAGCTCTCTGTTTTCTTCAGCATCTAAAACTGATCCCTTTTCATACGAAAAATTTCTTCCTGGGACGCCACGAGCCCTTGGGGTGCCTACAAGATAGCCACTTTTGTTAGAACCCTCGACGTTATTTTGCCATTCAGACGAAATTTATCGATGGGCTTTGAATGAGACGACCTTAACGTCTCAAATGTTTAAATGTGACACATTTTTGACGCTAACATTTGACATAGAGTATTATTCCTTCCAATGTTGTTTACGTAATTTCCTTATATTTAATTTTCCTTTTATTGAAAGTGTTCTGATAATGCTAATCATTTTCTGACTCAGTTTGGTGGCAGGCTTTTCTAAATCCAGCTTTCTATTGTCAAAATTCAAAGGTCCAGTAAGTGGTACCAAAACTAATAATAAAAATGAGCCTTCTTTTTTTTACAAAAACTACTTACATCTAACCACATCCTTAAGGTGTTTTCCCCGGTCTTGTGAAATGCTATCTGCGTGATGAGCTTTTCCTTTAGATTCACACGCTTTGTTGAGCGTTTGTTGAGCACTTTGTTGTGCTAGGTTACCAGTATCTGAAGCCGCGTTTGCTTGGGAAGCACTTCTGAGCGTCTTAGTGTTTGACTGTAACGCCTCCCGCTGTGGAAAGGTTTCAGTAATGTCACCTTTTACCAACATGTTCTCGTCTTGTCCTTCCAGGTAGTTGACAGCCGAAGGTGCTTGACCTGTCAATAAACCGCAGCGCCTTCAATTTTCTCTTATAAGAGTCTTCCTTGCTTCATTGATTCCCAAAAGAGTATAGGCATTGATAATTACGAGGGAAGGGTTGCCATAGCGATAACAGGGTTATGGGCTCTTAAGTTTCTTTCGTTTTTGGTTAAATAACGCCTGTTTTGAAAGCTAGCCGGATTGTCAAGATTGATGATGATAAATAAAACTTTGTGGTGAGGCTTTTACTTATTTTTAAGTAAGTAAAAGACTTGAACATGTTACTTACATCAGTTACAGAATACTCGAGTCGGGATTGCACCTGATTCTCTACCTAATTCTCACGAGACCTTCTGAGATCACGCGACTACCAAAAAACATTCACTATAGCTAAAAAAGATACCTGCTGAAGGGGTTACATCTTCTTTCATTTTATCGTAGCCGCCACCGATTGTTGTAGTGCTCTCTTCTGACTCTTTGGGTTGTTTGTTCTTCTTCGTTTTCTTTGATTTGCTTTCCTTGCCGGGATGCGGATTTAAATCTTTGCGTTCACGCTCCTCGCCCTTTTCATCCATAATTTTACCTTTAATCTCTGCTGCTTCTGCAGACTCGTTAGCTTCAATACCTTCTATGCGTCCTCCAATATCATGCAAGCCTGATTTGCTTTGGGTTACCTTTTCTGCGTTATTAGCTATCGGAGTAAATTTACAGAAAACAACATTTCAATGTATAAGTCCAGGAAAAGTACCACTTTAAAAGGTATCCTTGAGGCCAGCATTTTTGATTTTTTTTATTGGGAAAAAATGTGGTATTTGTTAGAACCCTCGACGTTAGTCTGCCTTTCAGACGAAAGTTATCGATGGGCTTTGTATGAGACGACCTTAACATCTCAAATGTTTAAATGCTGACACATTTTTGACGTTAAGATTTGACATAGAGTATTATTCCTTTCAATGTTGTTTACGTAATTTCCTTATATTTAATTTTCCTTTTATTGAAAGTGTTCTGATAATGCTAATCATTTTCTGACTCAGTTTGGTGGCAGGCTTTTCTAAATCCAGCTTTCTATTGTCAAAATTCAAAGGTCCAGTAAGTGGTACCAAAACTAATAATAAAAATGAGCCTTCTTTTTTTACAAAAATTACTTACATCTAACCACATCCTTAAGGTGTTTTCCCCTGTCTTGTGCCATGCTATCTGCGTGATGAGCTTTTCCTTTAGATTCACACGCTTTGTTGAGCGTTTGTTGAGCATTTTGTTGTGCTAGGTTACCAGTATCTGAAGCCGCGTTTGCTTGGGAAGCACTTCTGAGCGTCTTAGTGTTTGACTGTAACGCCTCCCGATGTGGAAAGGTTTCAGTAATGTTACCTTTTACCAACTTGTTCTCGTCTTGTTCTTCCAGGTAGTTGACAGCCGAAGGTGCTTGACCTGTCAATAAACCGCAGTGCGTTCAGTCTTCTCTTATAAGAGTCTTCCTTGCTTCTTTGATTCCCAAAAGAGTATGGGAATTGATAATTTCGAGGGAAGGGTTGCCATAGCGATAACAGGGTTGACTTAAAAGTCTCTTTCGTTTTTGGTTAAATAACGCCTGTTTTGAAAGCTAGCCGGGTTGTCAATATTTTTATTCGCAAAAAAATATGGTTGTACATCACTCTCCGTTAGCGATCACCATCATAAAAAGGAAAATGTTTCCTAGACATGACGTTCGAAGAACAGAGATACCAGGGTGGAAGAATAGAAGGATTTCTGGTCTCTATAGTAGTACATTTTGAAAGAGTCTTTTTGCCCTTGGCCGGCTTCGCATACTTATCTCAGTTAAGACCTCTTTTGTTGTGTTTCGTCAAAGAGGAAAATTTTCCAACAAGAATTATGAACTTAGGCTACGAAATCCAACCAACCCATATCAGTCGCACAAAAAGTGCTGCTGTTGTTACTTGGTAGATAACCCTATACAATTGAGAACGCACCATTCACATGGGAAAACCGGAAATTCTTGTTGGGAAATCAAATGGTTACGCCATTCCGTTTGGGAAGCTTTAGAAAATATGGACTGTGATTTCAGGCGATGCAATGTTGTTAATTCTCTTTACTCTGACTGTTCAGCTGCTTTCTGTATACTTTTTGGAGGGTCGGTCTTCCTTCGAGTTAAATTTTTTTTCTTCCTTCGAGTTTAATCAAGTTTATATGCACAAGATCTCCACCCGGGAGGTTTGTATAAATGGTGACCACCCAATGTTCATCATGATGCAGCTGAAGGATAACTTGGAAACATCGGTTTTTGGGACTTTTACGTTCCCCATAATACAATTTGTCTTCTCCACAGGAATTTACCCGTATTGTTTTCAGTTTCTCTTGGATCAAATAATCTTCTCTTAAGAAACTGGAAACAAAACTTATCGAAAATTTTGTGTGGAAAATAAATTGCGTTATGGGGAACGTGAAAGTCGCAGATGAGATCTCCACTTCTACTCTCTTAAAAATAGGCAATCCATGGAATATGCGGGAAGATTTGCTTTTACCTTGTTATAGTTTTTAGCATGAGAAAACAGTCCACATTTCACGGTGCCACCACTGGTTTCCCCGTCAAATGACGTCTGAGAAACGTACCCAGAAATTCCATACTGATGACGAGTAATTACCCAGATCAGGGTGGTGCTTCTAATTTGTTAAAGCTACTCTCACACGCGGCAAGACCAATCAGAAGCACTATCCAGATCTTTTTATTTCTTAGACGTCATTCCGCGCGGAAACCAGGCGGGTGGCGTCGCCAAATGTGGCCGTCGATAAAACCCGGAACACGGAACATGCCGGAACATTCCGGAACATCCCGGAACATGAAAAAAATAAAAATAATTTTCATGAAAAAAAATGTAATAAAATAATAATAATAACATAATTTTTGTAAAAATTAATAAGAACGTAAAATAACAAAAAAAAAAACGAAAAAGGATGAAATAATCAAGAAAAAGAAACTGGTATCCTCTCTGAGTATGAGAAAACAATATTTTGTCGCAACAAATTAAAATTTGTTGGGCGAGTGAGGGTTCATGCAAATGACAGTAATGAGTGAAGGCTTGCTTCTAAATTCAAAATATATTAAAATGGGTCGCGAGGAGGAGCTTTTCAAGCTTTCCTCACACAACCACCTCTCGTTATTGTTTGCCATGAGTTAATCATTTGGCGGTTATCCATTTACGGTTCTGCGATAGTCTGAAATGTCGGTGCAGTATTTCATGTCAAGCCAAGTCGGTAAGTAACTCATGTCAAGCCAACATATAGTCTCCTTATATATAACCGACATTTGCTTACTTGAGGTGCTTTGCTTCACTTGAGGTTGACATGAATTACTTACAGACTAGGCGGCTCTGTGAACTTAAGAATAGCTAAGGGGCTCCTGTCTTTGGATTTTAGTGGACAATACTCACAATCGTAGTAGTTTCTATACTGTTTACAGTCAGCATGATATTTCAGACGTCTCCTCGAGTCGCAAGAGGAGTTTGCGGGGAAACGACTAAAATTCAGGCTAACTGATAACAGTTAGAAACTACCGCTACGCTACCACTGCCACTGCAACTATTCACGGCGAATGTGAATCTTTAATGTAATTATCCAAGTCCAAAGCGACGAGCCCCTAAGCTCTTCTTACGGTCGCAAAGCCGTAAATTGATAACCGTTAAACCGCATGGCAAACATTTACAAGAGGTGGCTGTGTCAGGAAAGCTTGAAAACCCCCTCCTCGCGACCCATTTTAATATATTTTGAATTTAGAAGCAAGCCTTTACTCATTACTGTCATTTGAATGGACCCTCACTCGCCCAAAAAATTCATTGCGACAAAATATTGTTTTCTCATACTCGGAGATTTTACCAGTTTCTTTTTTTTTCGTTTTTTCTTTGTTCGTTTCATTAATTTTCGTTGTTATGTTATGTTATGTTATTTATTTTGTTATAATAAATTTTTGCAAAAATTGTCTTCTATCTATTGTTCTTTTTATTATTATTTGTTATTATTATTATTGTTATTATTATTATTATTATTTTTATTTATTTAATTTATTAATTATTTTTTCATAAAAANAGTCGCAAGAGGAGTTTGCGGGGAAACGACTAAAATTCAGGCTAACTGATAACAGTTAGAAACTACCGCTACGCTACCACTGCCACTGCAACTATTCACGGCGAATGTGAATCTTTAATGTAATTATCCAAGTCCAAAGCGACGAGCCCCTAAGCTCTTCTTACGGTCGCAAAGCCGTAAATTGATAACCGTTAAACCGCATGGCAAACATTTACAAGAGGTGGCTGTGTCAGGAAAGCTTGAAAACCCCCTCCTCGCGACCCATTTTAATATATTTTGAATTTAGAAGCAAGCCTTTACTCATTACTGTCATTTGAATGGACCCTCACTCGCCCAAAAAATTCATTGCGACAAAATATTGTTTTCTCATACTCGGAGATTTTACCAGTTTCTTTTTTTTTCGTTTTTTCTTTGTTCGTTTCATTAATTTTCGTTGTTATGTTATGTTATGTTATTTATTTTGTTATAATAAATTTTTGCAAAAATTGTCTTCTATCTATTGTTCTTTTTATTATTATTTGTTATTATTATTATTGTTATTATTATTATTATTATTTTTATTTATTTAATTTATTAATTATTTTTTCATAAAAAAATATTTTAATTTTTTCATGTTCCGGTATGTTCCATGTTCCGGGTTTTATCGACCCCCGCCAAATGTCGGCTGTTTTCTTAGGCTATTGTAGTTTTATAGTCAGATTCAATGCACTATTTAACAATTATTCCTCGAGCACAGAGGCCATGAGGGCGAGAGGAATAATTATTTTAGTAAAATCCAACTAGTTGATCAAAAATATCGAGACAAACCAATTTTAGCTAGCAAAACGCGATTCAGCTGCCATCGTTTAGGCTTTCAAAGCCGGCGCTTTTCGCTACTAGTGGGCTATAACATTAGCCTAGTAGTAGCTCAAACAATCAGAACGCAGCATTGATAATAGACCACTAGTTGGATTTTACTAAATAATATATACCTTCTTTAAATCGTGCTCCTTCTTCCTTGTCTTCTTTCTTTTGAATACTGCTTTCTGTCCCTACACTGGCCTTTTTGCCTTTTTTCTTTTTTGCTTTGTCATCTAAGGTGGACTTCATATTCACGCTGACCTTGGTGTTATCTTCATCAGGTATTTCAGTTATGGCTCTGTCCATCTGAAATATTTTGTGCCCTGTTTCTTCCGAAAGGTCAGTTTCTTTGTCATTTTTCAGTGATGTGGCAAGCAGGTTTTCTTCAGTGCTTATTCTTAGATTATCAACATCAGCTGATTTCAAGAATTCCGTTACATTACCATCATCGTCACCTACAGATAAAAATGATTATAACGTTTAAAAGTAAAGTTCTACCAAACGCTTAGTGAATTTTACGTGTTGCTCAAAAGCCCTCGGACCTAGGAGCGGCTTAATAGATTCGAGGGAGGCTTATAACCAGAACAGAAAAAGCGCTTCGAAACAAGCTAAAGTAGTTCTGATTAAAACACGTTTTGCATTTACTAGTTCAATTTAATTATCCTTCAAATCGTCACTATATAAAGAAGAATTCAGTTCAATGTATTTACGGGGGCTTAAAATCGGATGTAATGTTTTGTTTGCACCTAGATGAGCCTTTAACTGGGGGGCTTGTAAGTGTGTGTGTGTGTGTGGTGGGGGGGGGGGGGGGGGGGAAGTGTAGTTGTTAAATTCATTTGAGGTATAGTGTTTGGGTGGTGTATATTATGTTTTTTGTTTTTTTGTTGGCGGTGTGGGGGGGGGTGGGGGGGGGTGGTGGGGGGGGGTGGGTGTGGGGTGGGGGGGGGGGGGGGGGGGGGCTGCTCCTAAGCGGGATTTAACGGTATACAAATCGACACCATACTCCCAGCGGCCTAACCTCATGATGTTAGTGATAGGTCAAGTACATGCCTTGTCTTATCTTATTTTTGTGTACTTCATATTATTCACTTGTCTACCCATAGCCTCATTATTGTCACAGAATTTAATTTTGCTTCAGAAACGTATTGTTAGAATTGTTCATAGGGGGAGATTGTATATTGTATAAGTTCAATATTTTTCTAGGGAGCCCAGGCTAGGTTTCTTGTTGGTTCCCTTGTTAGTTTACCATTTTTGTATTCATTCAGATATTTTGTATTTTGTTTTAATTAGCAAAATAAATTGCCTGAAGTCGCAACTGAACTAATTAGAAATGGCTTTTCTAGTCAACCCACTTACACCTTTATTGGCATCACATTTGCCTATATTGCAAAGGATCGGAATTCGATTCCCCGCTGGAAAATACTAAACGTTTTAATTTCATGCGACATATCCTACTCAGTCACTTCTGGAGGGCAACTTCTTGACCATCGCTTATTAATTTCTATCAGGGACACCCAACGACAATTTTCGGAAGAATATCTGTTCGGAAGACGATTTGAGATCAGTTGAGATCTAGAATTTTCGAAACATTTGTTGTAAATTTCTTGCTTGCTTGCCTCTCCTAGGATTTTCGAACATCTAAAAAATGGTATAACTGCCCATTTTTAACGGATTTTTACCCTAAAAAGGTCACCTAGAATTTTCGGGAGCCTCTTTTCTGGCTGAAATTTTCGAAAAGGTAAATTTTGATCCCTATAATTTTCGGATCACTAGACTTTCAGCTAGGAAATCCGAAGAGATGAAAAATTTTTAGGGGATAAAAATATGCCTATATATCTACCGTTTAAATACTAAAATACGTTTAACAATGCTATGTTTAAGTGTTTTGAACTGTATTCTCGTTGGGTGCCCCTGTTCTATTGGTAGTCCATTGCAAATCCTACTGATTTGATTACTTATATGTCTGGCCGCATTTTTGGAAACGTTACTGCCGAATGGACCTCTTCCGTCAAACGGTTCATCTTTCAGCTAAACACCAAAGTAGGCATTATAAAGAGTATGAGAGCAACCATTGTTTTTCTCTTCTCCTCCTTTCTTTCTCCTCTCTCTTAATTCTTCTCCTTTCCTTTTCCTTCGTTAGTGTGATTTCGAGCTCCTTCTGGGGCGTAAAAAACCGCCTTTTGACCCTTTTTTACTCGAATGACTTCGGATTTCTATAATATAATCGCTGTCTATTCCGGCTCATAGATAGCGACTAGCGAAAAACTGGGTTTTCGCCTAAAAATGCACGATAAAAGTCATCAAAAAGTGCTCTTATATTTAGTTCTAATCTATTAACAATAGAATAATTCTATTCTACCCACTGATCGATGAAAACGATCCATAACATGATCATCTATCATGATTACCTGAAAGCACTCCTTGTATCGTTGTCTTGGCGTCATCAATAAAACAGTCATCACAGCTTGCACTCTCCACATCAGGGCAAGCAAATTCATCTTCAAAATTTGACTTACGTTTCAGAGTGTTTGCTTGTTGTAGCGCTGTCTTTTCGTCTGTTAGCCTTCCAACTAGACTATCTTGAGTTTCGTATCGTCGGGCCGTCGAAATCATCTCAGTAAAATTATCTTCCTTAACATAACTATTTCCAGGAGGCGAGATCTCTATTTCTTCTTCTGAGGGCACGTTTGACTCGATACGGAGGGCAGCTTCTCGACCATCGTTTTTCTTCTTGTGCTCATCTCTGGGACCCACTACTACCGCTCCAGATGACACGGCACCTGGGGATCGTCCATCGTTTTCTTGAACTACTTGAACTCTGGGTTTCTCCTCCGATTCTTCCTCTCGCTGGCTTCCTGGATTTCCTGCTGGCGCTAGGGCATACGAATCGAATAGTTAGTATTCCAGGAATTCATTTTGACCTGAAAGGTAGTGCTGAGGATGTTTACAAGTGGTTATTTGAACTTTTCACCATTTTTCTCACCTATGACAAATGTATTTTCATGGAAGAAAATTATCCTGTTCTTTTCCCCCTCCGAAATTTTAGCCTAGACTACCGCGAAATGCTTTCCAGGATCAAGGTCATAATGTTTATCACACGAACTTAAACTGCTTTTTGTTTAAGCGATTCATCTACATGCACTATAATTAACCTTTATATTAATTAAGACCCTATGGTTCATTCATATTATGCTGTATTAGTATTTATCAAATCAGTGAATAGCAATTTTCGCCCCTTTTGATTGGTTCCCGTAACTCCGGATATCCTTGGCTATTCACTGTTTTGCGACCGGAGCCAAGATGGCGTCTCGTCCCGAGACATTTTCAGAAAACGAAATTTGTGCGATAAATAAATTAGTCTTTCAAAAAAAAAAAATACCAAGAAAGCGACGAACTTTGGCTTGTCGGTGTTCACTGGTAGGTCGAGAATTATTTTCATGCTGAATTTGCAACAACATCGTAAAATTCACTTGACAAAATCCCCGAAATGTTTGCGAATTGTAAACAAAGTTCCTACGTAGTGACGTTTTTAATTTACAACAAGTTACATTTTTTTAGTTTTATCCAACTGATTTGGTAAATACTAAAACAACTATCCCCCTCAGGGTCGGTGAACAGCGCTGGATATATACCTCAACGCTTCGCGTCTCGGTATACCACCACCAAAACACCTTACGTAAAATACCGTTTGTGTATGTCATGTGAAGTTTCGAGTTTTTAGAAGTTCCTATTTTTTGTGACTTAAGAAAAAGGAATGTATGACGAGAAGCTTAAAGCGAGCTGTGAACGTTTTAAATTTTATCGAAACTCGCTAATGCTGACATAAATCGTGCTTGCTGAAGAGGCGAAGGAAAGTAACTAGCCTCAGTATTCTATTTCCTATTTCTCTCAAGTTGGTCTTTGAAGCTTCCGGTGAAGCTTTGCGTATTTGCCCTCTCGCCAAACAAACCGCCAGCTTCGCAGGCTATGAGATGAACTTGTGTGCAAAATTCTAATAGTTCCTTTTTTCTTCGTCCGAGTCTTCTTTATCCTTATCCGAAATTTAGACCTCCAAAAAAGGTGGGTGTTATATTAAACAGAAGGAAATATTGAAATGAAAAGCCAATCTTAAACAGAAGCTGCAAATATGGGAAAACGCCTTAATAATTAATAATTATCGGTGTTCGTTTTTTAAGCGGGGACTACCAAATGGAAGAGAATTTAAGACTAGGCCACAAGCAGTCCAGTAAAAATCATATCGATGCTTGCGAACTCCACATTTTCCCGCCGAAAATAGAGCGGATTTGATTCTACCAAAAATTTCTAGAAGCAATTTCAGTAAAATCCGACATTTAACTACCATTCCGACTTCTTAGAAGTGAAAAAAGTAATACAAAACAAAAGTTTAGGAATAGTCCAGTTCGAATTAAAAATTGCCGCTGAATATAAACATTAACGGCACATTCACACAGGGTTAGCCTCGACGTAAAGTAAAATATTCAGAAATTCTGGCAAGTAAGTGTTTGAAATTTGAATATACACAATAGACAGAGTAGTAAACAGGTCTTGTTCTCGTTGGAATTTGTGAATATATTACTTAAGAATGAGGCTAAGGCTGTAAAAAATGGGTCTTCACTTCTTTAATTCAGCGGTCATAGCGAACTCGAAAATGGACTATTTGCTAACCGCGAGCAACAACAAAAAAAAACAGTCAGACAATGTTGCGAAGACCGAGATGGATCCACATCTGCATTTGAAAAACAAGCATGTCTATAAACTGAAATCCCGTTATTTATTCATTGACAAGCTGTCGATCATTTGGACATTATCGTTGACAGACCTAGATTAACCCAAGGCCAAAAGCGAAGCTCACGTGTAAAAATTTATAATTAACTTCAAACAATAGACTTGTAACCATCGCAAAGACTTTATCCACTTGGAGTTGAGCCTGAAAACTAATAATTTGTCAGCGGATAACTTCAAAAAACACGTAATCTTGGGTCAACACTTATTTCCATCCGCCAAACTGTCGTTGGCAGATGAATGATTCGTACACAGCGTAAGGGTTAGGGTTAGGGTTGTTGCCATGTATATTCAAATCAAAACATTTATTGTCAGCAAATCCTTGGTGGTGTAGGGGTTAACGTGATAAACTGCAGAGCCGATGCTCTGAGATCGAACCCTTTTCGTGCCATCTTGAATTTTTTTTTCCTTAAAAATTGAAGAGACTTAGACTTTTATGAACAGAAATTTCAAGAGACAGAAATTTCATGTACGAAAAGTGAATTGTCTTGTGAGAGCCACTGAGAAAAAAAATGTCAGTTTGGCCGATGGAAACAAGTGACGACCGTAACCTTGATGCGTCGATAACGATAAGCCTGACACCTGGTCCCGGCAAGTGATACTTACTGGTCAGCGGATACCCTGTATGACAGCTGTCAACTGACTGCAACATGGATGTGCAAAATCAGGTTGCAGGCTCGCATGCTACAGTGTAGCTAGCAAAAGTGAGATTTCACATTGGTAGCCCTGTGCTGCGGACGGACAGTCTCCTGACTGCCAAAATTTCTCGGATGGATAGATAACCAAATTTTCTTAGCTATGGGGCTCCGCTTCCCGCCCTACACGAGCCCGTGGAGCTGCGCTATTAGAAGTGACTTTCTTCGAGTTTATCTGTGATGTCGAGTTCTTATTTTAAATCATCATGTTGAGTGGAAGGCTCGTGTGTATACTAAGAAAAAACAAGTCATTAAATATTTCCCTAATAACTTGCTAGCAGTAGTTTATTAGTTTTGCGAGGTGCATGATTACCTGATCGTGACAAAACATGATGTTTCACTGTCTTGTTGTCATCACTGAAGACATATTCGTCGCTACTTCCAATTTCCAGCTTAGGATGTACAAGTTTGTCCTCTAAATTTGAGTTACGTTTAATAGTTTTTGTTTGGTTTAGCTCAGTCTTTCTGTCGGTAAAGTTGTCCTTCTGCACATAATATCTGCCACAGGATGAGGTAGGTAACTCTTCTACTGAGGGCACGCTTGATTTGTTATGGAGGGCAGCTTCTCGACCATCGTTTTCCCTCTTGTGCTTATCTCTGGGACCCACAACTACTGCTCCAGACGACACGGTACCTGAGGATCGCCTTTCATCTTCGTGAAGTAATTGAACACCCGATTTTTCCTTCGATTCCTTCTTTTGTTGGTTTCCAGGTGGCGCTAAAATATACAACAATATACAGGTTTGAAAAGTCAGTTACTTGAACGTGAACGTGAGTGCCATGATGCTAACAGCATGAGTTACTTGAACTTTTGTGGAGGGAAAAGTTGTTGGAAATGAGACTTTAAAAATATGATGTGAAAAAGCCAAGGAAGACAAAACGGATTGACTATGGAGTTTTAGTCTTATCGACTCTGCGGAATTACAAACATTTTCCTCCAAAATTTGGCATCACAAACCAAAATTTGATCGTTTAGCCACCCCATGTTGTGAATGACAAATACAATGTTGGACGATAATGTTAGGTCATGTTTGATCGTTCAGCCTGGGTCTAAACTTAGAGACAGATTTTTAGAAATTAACCCTGGAAAAATTTGCCAAGATTTGACAAGATTTGAACAAGTTGGAATAAGAGCGATGAAATTTGAAACGGCCCGAACGTCTTTTTTAAGTGACGTTTTCGCTGCCGTCGCCGTCGTGGTTGCTTGAGCTCCCTATTATCTTACCGTCTTTTCCATGATACTTTTCAAACCAAAGTCGACTGAATTCAAATCTTTGTCCAAAGGGTAATCCGAGTTCCTGGAAAACAAACTACTTGTGAGTCGAGATGAGCCCCCGCATTTACGCTGTTGCAGGGACACTGATCACAATAGACATTCACAATACCATAAAACATCCATTAAGTCCCCCGGGGGCCTTTTTATTTCAGGCGCGTTGGAGGGGTCTTACCATCTCTTCACATGAGCCCAGTTTCCTAGATTCCGCCGTACTTCTAAATCCTTTGTAAAATTCTCGATGGGTTCATATGAGAAGGCGGGCTGGCTCGGTTCCCGTGATCTCGGTTATTCCAATCGCGATCTCGATAAGCCATATGAACACTTCCGCCCGGTTACCGGGATGAACGCGGCATTAAGTCAGCAGCCCTGATGCATACATCGTCTTGGTTTGCCTGCTGTATTTTCCACATCATAAGCATCACATCTAACTGCAGTGATATAGCTATTGAGAGTTTCCAAAGCTATGACATGCGCGAAAGTTATACCTTTGTGTTTCTCAATGGTTGCTTTGTTTCTCGAAATTCGCGCCAGAACTTGTCCCGACCTTTTTTCATCTCGGAAACCGGGCTAAAATTTCTCATATGAACTCAAAGCGAAATTGGTCCCAGTAACCGGACCAGCCCGGTTAACTGGGTTCATGTGAAGAGGCCCGTAATATAGCTTTTTACATCACAGATGCCACATTGGTGTTTCCAAACTATGCCATGTTGCCGTGTTCCAAACCAGTCCTAGCTCATGGATGACGCAGTCATTGTATGAGTTTTGGAGGCATTTCCCCAAAACAAACTTCCGGCACATGAGGGACCGGTCATTGTTCATCGCCTGGGGGGCGGAGGATTTTGGGGAGGATTATTTGATTTTTAGGAGAACAAAAGCGGGGATCAGTCGTAACTGAGAACCCAAAAGGGGGGATCACTGAAAACTTTGGAAGGATTCAGAGGGGGCACCACTCAAATTTGCTTGGAAAATGAAGACATGGGGGCGGAGATCGCGAAAGTCATCAAATGTTATTAGGGGGATCACTTCAGTGAAGTAACATTCAAAGGGGGGATCGGCTAAATTTCACCTTGTTTAGCCCCAAATCCTCCGCCGCCCCCACCCCACCCCCCAGGCGATAAATAATGAGCAGTCCCTAAATAAACCATGCCGGATCAGTTCAAATAAAGTGTTACAGTCCGGTTTAGTAAGTACAGTCTAACATTTATTAATTTGGCTGTAAAGTGTAAGGGGGCAGGGAAGGGGAGCTTAAGAGAGGAGGGGAGGGCGGTTAATCAGGTTATTCCCCTAAAAAAGTGGGCTTATTTGAGGGTGGGCTTGATAATGCGGCCAGCGGTTAGCGGTCAGCGATGATGATGGCCGCGTCTTTTGAAGCTGGCTAGTTTAGTGTTATTTGTTGCCTTTTTTGTGTGTTTAGATAATTTACTTTTTCGTGTAAGAGTTCCTGTGTGAGTGTGTGTTTTAATGAACAACAAAGCTATAATAGAATTAAGTCAATCTTGTTAAAGGGCCATAAAAAGTTTTACTATAATTTGCCCTTCTCTATCCTAAATTTTCTTGCTAACCTTATGTACACGTAGTTTAAACAAGCTTCTACTAGTTATTGTAAAACTGATGTATTATCTATAGGATGGAGTAAATAAAATACAAATACAAAAAAAATACAAATAATGGAATTACGGACAATCCTACCACTTTAAATGTTATATTCCGTTTTGATTTTGTGTACGTAACGTAAACAGTATGAAGAATGCATTTAGCAGAGACCAGAACTAGGAGATCTAAGTTAAACTTAACTTACACTGAACCCGCTCAAAATTGCAGAACTCACTATACTATTGTATCCGTTTTTAGTTGCTTTAAGGATAAAGGTACACAGTAGCCCATTCATACATTTAACCTTTTTACCGCCAAACTGAAGGCTTTTTTGCGGAAGTAATATTTTAGAAGAAACTGAAGGTGGATCTTTTTCGATGATTACATAATTGAACAACTTTTCCTTGCAATTTTTGTAATTTTTCCTTTTTCTGGACAAAGAAAACAACAGCATTCAAAATGAAATCATGACCTCTATATCTTTAATCTTGTCTGATTGTACTTACAAATACACCTTACCTCTTTGAGAATAAGTTTTAATTCTTCCTCCGATTTTATGAAAGATAAAGTCTTATCCTGAAATAAAGGATTAAAGTAACGTTGTAAGTTGATTTCACACTCATTAATATCACGAAAGATGATTAGGTACATTCAGTGTAACATTCTAAATGGGTGCGAATCCAGCAGAAACTTTAAGTCGCTGAGAAATCCGCTTTTCAATATATATATTTTTTACGTTAAAAGAATTCGTGAAAAGTAGAAAATCAGTAACGATTATTCGCTATAGTATGCGTAGTTAATATTACCCGGAAGTGTTTTTCTTTGAACAAAGCTCGCAAATCGCTATGATCGAGTTCATCCAACGCAGCAAATACTCTGTGATATTCAGGATCATCTGAAAGAATAAGAAATACCTTAACTGAGACGAACGTTTCTAACAAAAAGAGTATTGGATCTCGCATTACCATTTGAATTAACAAGTGTCTGATATGTCAGCTGAGGTTAGTTTCTGTCTTCTGCCCTTCAAAATTATACATTTAAACTGCCGCGATACAGGCCGTTTCCCGAGGTTCAGAAGAAAAAAAAGGGGCCTAAATATAGTATCATGAAAGATAATTTACTGCTGTTTTCTAATTTGTATATGAGAGAGCACATAAAACAGGTCTAATTGTGGCAAAATTTCAGATAAACTGTATCAAAAATGGTAAGTGATTTAATATTCAAACCTGAAACTGACGCTGCTTCTTCTCCCTGCAAAACCAGACGCTGTTTGTTAGAAGCAGTTAGACCTACTACTGTACGCACTACATTCAGTCAACGCAAAGTCAAGATCCTCACAAGAACAGCAGTTTAATGACAGTCGAACTGAAATGACATTTCACACCCCAAGGCCAGCCGGTTGACTGGAACGAGTATGTAAAAATGGACCTATAAAAGTTTGGCTTAAATTTCACCTTATCGATATATTCTTTTGGCAAAACAATCAAATCTTGTGAGTGCAATCACATCTTTTTTTAAAGGTCTCGACTTAAGTTTTGAAATTATGTCTGTGCATTTGAATGGGAGCTCTGAGAGGGCTCAAAATTGCAACCTTCAAAGTTGACTGAGGCGTCCATTCATATTTGATGAGATCTTTGTTGTTTGGTTATTATTCGTGGAATCAGTTTGCACAGAAAACATTACGTCTACATCTGCGTAAAACTGCTACTAAAATTCTCTTGGATAAAACAAAAGGACTCGTCTGTTAGTGTCCTTCGCAGCCGTTTTTAGCGGGGTCTGGAGGAGCGTTGTGTGACGACCCTAAAAACGGCTACGATGGTGATTTAAGGACTGTGGGCCAGACATGTAAACGACAAAATCGCTTCACAGTCAATCCTCGAATTCATTGACATCATGCTTTCATTCAGGTATCAAATAAAACCCGTGAATTTAGCAACATCAACTTGAAACAAGAGCATCCAGCCAAACTTTCTACTTTTGTTAGCCTTCAAAAACACGTTTCATGTGACCGCATGCAAACTGAAATATTGAAATTTCTAAGAAACTCTGCCATTTTTCCCGGAAATAACCACACTTTTCTTGCTTTTACATTGTCTGGGTTGCCTTATTTTTAGTTCAGATTCGTTTTATCTGCAAACGAACCAAAAGACTATAACGCGGGGAATCAAATTGACGCGTTTAGGGAAACCTTCAACTTCATCTCGACGACAACACACCAGAGCGAAACTTAAAATAACAACGCTGAATTCATTAAAGGCTTTCCTCCAGATTACAAAAAAGTGGAGGTAAATATACAGACGAAGACTATGGAACAACACACATTACAACCGGAAATATCACTTAGAAGTTTATGCAACTCACACGCAAACGATACACCATGTGAAATTGATAACAAAAAGACAAAACTTGTTCGCTTTCTCATTTCCTCAAGTGCGATGAGCCGTAAAGCATGGCCTTGCATATTAAATTATGTAGTAAAAACAAGAAAAAAGAACACCTACCATTTTGTCGAGTAAAGAGATAGTTAGCCGTTCAAATAAAACCAATTCAACTCGGCCATAGTGCTTCGCTCGTTGTACTAAGTACAGAACACGCCACTTCTCTGCTTTCTAGGAGCCCCTCAATATGATGAAATCCGTCGCAATAGATTACCTCGTCACCTTACTCGGCACCAGGCCTGAGTTAAACACGTTCCTAGTTCCTGCGCAATGGTATTGAAAAGTTGTGAGAGTCATAGAAGAGAGGATGCTTGGAAAGAAGAATGTTCTCGTTCGGCTTTCCCTTGAAAGGAATACTTTCTAATCTATTTGTTTAAGAAGCAACATGGAAAGGAGTCTAAGGCCGAGTCAGTTCCACAGCACTTCTCGAAGGGACTGTCGGCAGGTTCTTCTTTTTAAATAGCTCACTATTTTGTACCTCGCGCCCCCAGTTGAACACGTAGCTGTATTCTTCTACGAGCGTTTGGCTGGAAGGATTAAGAAAGAAAGAGACTCCTCTTACTCTAGAACGCGAATGAGAACGTAAAAATTGGGGAGAAAGGACTGAACCCGACTTCTGTTAGTCAATTTGGCTGAAACTAACCATGATTCTTAAAGCGGGGTGTTCACGATCATGCGCATGCGTGCCTTGGCAGCTTCCAGGAATAAATCATACGGGCCAACACTAAATTCGAAGAAGACATCAACTGCGAATCCAAGGGAATCTGTCTTTAAATTCGCTTATCCGTCGCTCTACGTAAGCAAAGCGAAGTCTGCTATTTCTAAAGTACTCGTGAGTGTTGTTTTGTTTTCGGAGAAAGGCGTTTTAGGAAACGAAAAATCAATTTCGTGAGTGGAGTCTCGGAAGCGACGTCGCGGGTGACCAGCAACAGGACGTTCTCAAGATTCTTTGGAGATAGAGAAGCTTAGCCGATCGATCCGGTTCTAGGAGTCGTGTGTGGCTCACGGAAAGAATACACCACACTTGGAAAGTGGTAAAAGGCATGAGTTTGTTCCACTCTGATTTGATTTATGACTCCGACCTGTAGTTACACCCAAAAATGCGCAACAGGCCGTGCGATCTTCACCGATGTGGTACACTTGAAATGTTCGTTGTATCTTAGCTGTATGATCGTATATGTTTGACAATTGATGTTTTTAAAATAAATTATAGCCTGAATATTCTGTTTATAATCTGGTTTCTTTATGTGTTCTACTCGATAACATTTGTTTTGCGGAACACCGACCCGATGCAACGCGAATTAATTTGTTCATTTGCTGATAAGCAATTGAAATTTATGCTCAATTTAGGATAATCTGTATACTCATACACTGTCTGCTTTTGTCACCGGTCACGAGCTATAATTCCAGGTATTCCTAGGTTTATATAGGGCGAACAGAGAGATCAGTACTAAAAGGTTTGTTTACAAATTTTGTTTGCCGATCGATGACTGCTTTGTTAGCGTGCGTACGTAAAAGACCTCGTCAAAATACACGTAGGTAAATGTTTGTTTCAAAGCAGGATAGGGCTATAAATCTTATTCTTATCGGCTGCAACATATATCATGAGGAATAGCAACGAATAAATCTGAATTATGGGGATATATAAAATCAAACCAAATGTCGGGAAATACTCCCGCGTTGCGAACAATGAATTTGAATTATGTAAATTTCCTTGCGTGCATCTAACTCGATTCCGATTGGTTTTAAAACAATTAGCTTCTGCCAGAACTCACACATGCGCATTATCGTGAACCTGTCCCTTTAAGTTTTCATCTCAAAAGAAAATAATTTGTTCCATACAATGGCCATCGCCCGTCTACTTGATGTGTTATTTCTGGAGTCCCACAAGGTTCTATTCTTGGACTTGCGTCTATATTGATGATATCGGTGATGTGCAAAGATTTGAAATTTATTTTTCTTGCCGATGATATAAATATCTTCCTTTCCTTTAAGAATCTTGAATTGACAGTTAACTCCCTGGTTTCATTCTAACAGGCCATCAATTAATCTCAAGAAAAATAAAGAGTTAGTTTATGCGTCAGGGTGCGTATGTCGAGATATTGAGCACGCAGGAAGTTTGGAGAGCACGAAAGAAGCAAAGAGTTGCTCGCGGCTGTGCCTCGAGCAACTCTAGCCTCTTGAGTGCTCTCCATACTTCCTAAGTGCTCAGTAGAGACCTTTAGCATCAGGTTTTTTATGGGAAACGGCAAACCGCAAACCGCAGTTTGCAGTTTCACGTTGCCGAGTTTTCAAACTTTAGCAACGCGTTCAGTTCAGTTCAGTTCATTTCATTTTTATTCAGCCAAAATATAATACAATACAAGAATACATGCAGGAATTGTAAGTTGGCAAGGGAGCCCAGAAGAAACCAGAAGGAATATGATGCCTGGGCTCCCCAGTCGCAAAGAAATATTAAAGTAAAATAAAATGACATTCTTGGAGTGATACGTTAAAAATAGGAACTAAACAGAGACTTTTTAAGTAATGAATTCAGTAACAAGGTAGAAAAAAATTTTTAACTCTGGATTGGAACAGAAAACTTAAGTACGGCAGGAATGTAAAATCGCTTTGAACTACGCGTTCATTGTTTAGTGCCGCCATTTTGTTTTTCATCAAGTCGGAGTGCATCACTTTTATCGCCCAAAAAACAGGAATAATTCATTGATTCGAGATCAAAAACCCAACAAACACATTGCAAACGGATACAAAAAGCTAGTTCGTGCCTTTAAACGCGAGGCTGTACAATTTTCAGTGGCAAGAAACCTTGCCGTAAGTCACTTACCGCTAGAAGCCCTTCCTGCGGTTCAAACGTGAACTGCAAACTGCAAAGGCCGCAAGGCCGTGGTTACGTAACATTTTGCTGTTTGCGGTCTGCGGTTTTCCATGAAAAACCTAATGCTAAAGGTCTCTAATATCTCGCCATAAGCACGGCTGAAGCATGAACTAATTTTTTAGTTTTCTTGAGATTAATATAATTGATGGCCTCTTAAAATGAAACCAAGCGAAAAATGCAGCAGTTAACTTAAAATTTTATTATTGTAGCGCGCTCAAAGTAGTACACGACAATTCTTACCTCAGTTTCAAGATAAAAACATAAACTTGACTGTCGCATTTTTTCAAGCCTTGAGTGTTCGGTATGAGAGAAAATTTAACCGAGTCGCTTAAGATAACTCTCAAAAAGATTTTAAAAATCCATATTGAGGTGCCGGAAAACTATTAATTCACCGAAAAATAATTTTTGAGAGAAACAACTTTGCAGTGAATGATCTGCACTCGGCATAGCCCGCACAGCTCACAGAGATAACGACAACAACAACAATACTTACCTCTTTTCCCTTCTATCGTCCCCCCCCCCCCCCCCCCCCCCCCGGAAATCTGGCCTTTTAATACAAACAATTACCATCAAGAAAAACACAAAATGCAAACCGGAGTTACAACGATGCAGAGTCGCGTTGCCCCCACTTCAAACAATATCAAAGCGTTCCCCTCCGCTTCCTTCATTTTTATTTTGCCAAAATACAAAACAAACAAATAATACAAATAGAACATGTTAATGCATGCAAAAAAACCACTTCAACAAAAAAAATTTTATTCCAAAAAAAAACTGAGCGAGTTTAAACGCACCGCTCCCACCACCCAACCTGCACCAAATAAAGCACCAACAAACCAACACCTCGCTTCTCTCCCTTTCTCCCCCCCCCCCCCCCCCCCCCACCTGAGATGTCCTGCCGTTTTCTAATACAACTAGTATTCTGCAAAAAAAGCTATGTGGTTTATTGGTGTTGAAGTAGAGCAAGAGACGAGTGCACCCCCTCCTAAAGAAAATCTTGGATCCGCCCCTGCAGTATTCTTCTACGAGTGATTTTGAACGAGAATCCGCCATGCATGTGAGTCACACACATTGCTTACCTAGCTTCTCAAGTTTTCTAAAAGAACGTTTAGATTTTGCAATTAGAGTAGAACCCCAGTAACTCGAATTCTGAAGGGAAACGAAAAACAGTTCGAGTTAGCGGGGGTTCGAGTTATAAGGGTCGATTGAATTTTCAATTCACCACTTTAATAATTGATAATTACTGTTTTTTCAGCAATTCGGTGTGTATAGTACACTGCAAATTTACTTATTTCATCCAAAATGGTAACATGATTATGCTTTTTTGTGATAAAAGGGATATGTTCGTTGCACCAATTAAAATCAATTTGCTGTAGTGTTAGTTTTGGTGTTTTTACCGATTATAGAAGAATAACAGCTAATGCGATACCATCCAAATGGGAAAACAAGACCAAAATTCTAGTTATCGGGGTAAATTTCATTAGAATTTCGATTAAGGGAAAGGAAATTTAGTTCGGGGAATTTAGCGGGGAATTCGAGTTATCCGAGTTCGAGTTAACCGAATAAAAATGACTGAAACGTGGGGTGAAATCCAAGGGAAATAGGACTTTGTTCGAGTTAGAGGAGAGTTCGAGTTATCGAGGTTCTACTGTAGTATTATCATATTGAGGAAGTTCTCAATACTGGCAGCAACCTGACTACAAGGCTTCTCTTAGTCCAAGAAAGAAGAGAGGGAATGAGGGGAGGGGAAGGAGAGGATTCAACTGACTGCAGAAAAAAAGCCAAAGGTAGCCTCCACCAGTAATTAAACAGCGGACGCCCGGTCTACCAGATGCGACAGCAATAAATAACAAGCAAGACTTGAGGTTTCATGACTTTTATTCCATTTTTACAGATTTTGACAAATGAAAAGTGTAAGTCACTTTTGATTGAATTTAGATGATCATCCTATGCACCATTTACACAAAAGCTTTGGTCGACGAATTTTCAAGATACTCACCCTTTGTTCACTTTCCCTTTTTTATCCCACTTTTCCCATTTATTCACCATTTTCTATCTGGGGGATTCAGAAGCAGCTAGGAACTATGACTTTCAATTCCGTGTACGTCATTCCTTTTATTAAAACGTACCCACTCAATGACAATCCATTTATTCTAGCTGAGTGGATAGTTTAGACCCTGATAGATTTCCTTAAAAACGTCCGTGTGTATCGTGGTTAGCCTAAACCAAACGTTTTATTGAATTCATAACGTCATAAATAGGCTGCAAATACAGCCCGCGTCACTCCTCACCCCTCGTCACAATTGACATTTCGATGAAAGAATCTCTCTCCGCGAAACGTCCCTTGTGGCCTACCTCGTTCTTTGGCGTCTCAAGTGTTTGGAAACCGAAAAACGCGACTTCTACGAGCGATCAATGAGTATCGCGCAATGAACCGTGGGAAGGTTTAGCATTGATGCTTAGCTCGGAACCAAAATCGCTCCAGTCGCTCTCGATTCGCTCTCGAATCCGCCAGAACGCGCATCAGGGTACGAGGCAGCCTTGTGGCGAAGAGCGAGAGACGGCTTTATTCTCGGGCTACGTCATAAATCGCACCTAGACTCGAAAACATTCCCTACATTAACATAAAACAGTTGAATTATTATGTTTACCTGCAAGAAATGTTTTCTCACATAACATTTAATGTACTTCGCTTCTAGAGTAAACACTATTTCATTAAAACAAACGAAAGTTATTCCAATTTATTAAACCATCTTTAATAACAAGGTCCTCAAACCGCTCGCCACTTGAACAATAGCTTGTTGCTATGTATACGTAGCCGTGGAAACGCAAAATCCCTTTTACTGATTTTAGGTCGTCTTTACAATTAATGTTTCATTTTACGAGGTAAATTCTCGGAAAATATTTATTATTTTAAATACTGCCTGGGGTGTTATTCACCACGAAAGAAAAGATCTTGGCCCAACACCAAAACAGCCGTCCAATTTGTTTTTTGTCGTTCATATAAATAACAACGCTTTTCGCGATGATAATAGGTTTTAAAAAATTTCCATATGCCAAAAGTTTTGCCACTACAACAGACGGACTTGTCAGCCATCTTGAAACGGAAAGAGCTGTGTTATATGTTTTTGGTGGATTTGATGTATAGTTTAGCGAAAACGTAATCAAAATCTTCAATTGTTTAGAATATCTCCGTTCATCAGCAAAAAAGAAAGCAGAAATTTTAACTGTTCAACGAAAAAGGTAAGATTAATTCTAGTTTCTTCAATGATAATGAATACTAAATTTCTGCTGCATACATTCTTAAAAGAACACTTCGCGAACTAATTGTATCGAAAAGAAAACGCTATACATATAGGAACGTGTTCTTCATTAAAATCATTGCGCGAAATAACTTACCTTTGGTGCGCTTAAAGTAAGTGGTTGCAGAATAATTTTCCACTCTCTATCAGGCAAGTAAATTAAAGACCATTAAATCAAAGCTTTAAAGAGTGCCTTGGAATTATCCGCGGATCATGTAGTCCTGAAAGATTCGCCGGACTTTGAATCATTCCTTCGTAAGA